GTTTTACATGAGGCTCACTTTCTTGTACTTGTTCCCATAAGAATATGTGCATGTACTGTGACTGACAAGAATATAATGTCTCAAAATAATCACAGGCAGCTGATGTATCAATATGGATATAATGTCATGACTTGCGACATGTGGAGCAAGCCATTTCCCATTTCAATCACCCTTTTGGAACTTTATCATTTGGCTTATTACCATTACAGTGGTGGGCTGTCAGGGCCAGCAAGGCCTCTCTGCTGGCCTAAACAGAATCAAGTTATAGCTATTTTATAATTTTATAATTTTGTATTTTTGTATTTTTTTGCATTATAATTTATAAAAATATTTTTCCCATTATCTTATTTTCTCATTGCACAGCTCCTGTCTTCCTCAGTTGCTCTGCTTCCAGTGCAGCTTGTTTTAAGTAGAGCTTTTATCCAATCAGATTTCACCTCTGTGTCTCTAGGTAAGAACAGAGGCCCGAGGCCTGCAGACTCACAAGTGAATCCCTTTGCAGTTTAAGTGAATGGGGACGATATTGTTGATTGTCATAGTCTTCAACCAATCAGATCTTTAGTTTGACATGTTGGGCGTATTCTTTGACGTGCCAGAGCCTGCTAGCTGGCCTAGCCATACATGATTGGTCAGTGGGCTAGCGTGACATGTTGGACGTATTCTTTGACGTGCCAGAGCCTGCTAGCTGGCCTACAAGTATGTCAGCATTAACGTGCAGCTCAGTTTTCAGGTGCAGCTCTGCAGTAAGGTGCAGCATGTTATTTGATTGGTCAGTGGGCGAGCACGTGACTATTGTGAACCGAAACTTAGCGTAGCCATCAGAGGCTTAGTTGGAGGAGTAAGAGTTCAAATTGAAAGATATGGAAGAAATTATAACACTTTTAGGGTTTTGCTTGGTGTAGTTTATTTATTTTTTTTACCTACCTTTGTTTTTTTAACACTCAATGGCTGAAGGAGGAGGAGAAACGGATTTAGTGGCGGAGTTATTGGCAAAGCATTTCTCAAGAAGGACATTTCAGGAAAAGCTGGAAATCGTAAGAAATGGTCAGTCAACCCCACAGCTAGCAGCCCTGACTCAGCCAGGAAAAGGATTTGTATGAACGGTATTTCTTGCTGACAGCGTCGGAGAAGCGTTGCACATTTTATGGCTGGGAATGCGTTTCATTTTAACTGAGCGTCTTGGTGTTTGGAGCTATGTTACGCTAACCTGAGGACACCAGAGCACGGCAGGACACAAGCTACGGTGCTTTTGAAAACTTTTGGAGAGACTCGAGTGGATCTACAACTCAACGAACATGTTCGCAGGGAAACAGCTCCACAACCGCAGCCCACCGGCGTGCGGGCCGCGGTTGGGCGGGCGGGCAGGCGGCGGCCAGCGGGTGCACCGGCGGAGGTGGGATCCCGGCCCCAGCGAGATACAACTTGGGAGGCTCGACTGTTATCACTGGCGTCCATGAATCGAGAAGGACTTCTTACTGGAACTGAACCGATGTACTATACAACCGTGGGATTAAACTATTTAACAAAGAAAGGAGGATGGAGTTTGTCTTTAAGTGAACAGCATTTGGTAAGTGAAGTGCGTTTGTTTGTTTACATCTGCAGTAACGTTACTAGTGTTGATTTGTCTATCGTGTCGTTTTTATGAATAATATTTGAATGGCTCATGCTCTTGTGTGGTAGAATGCGTGGATCCGCTGCAGGTCTGCTGGATTGATTTGTCATGCTTTGTTGTCATATGAATATATGTGACTGGTTCTTGTGAGTTTGTCATTGTATTAATTACATTGATTTTGAGTATATGCATTGTCCGTTAATGACGCAGTGTCCCGTCATGCACGTATTCATGTATCTGCACTCTGCAGTTCGTGTTTTGTAGGTGTTGAGCTTCATGTAACATTTTATTTCCCTTGATTCAACTGTAGTAGGACAGCACTGAAGGCCCAGGTATAAAATGCACGGCCCGCCACTGATTACCTACTGTTGCATGAAAATAAGACTCTTCCTTACATTCTCTGCAGATCTAACTGCAAAGATGAAGTAGATTTCCCACTGAGATGTCCTCTGGCCTCACAATGTCAACTCCATCCATGTGAAGAGAGACTGAAGGTCTCACCAGCAGCACAAGTGTCGGAGTCTTCGCCACAACACATCAACAGCATCTGAAATGGATATATGGTATTTGCAATGTGGTGTTCAAGCACTCTCAGTTTTACCTGCCTGTCTCCAGTGGCAGCTTAAGTACTGTTTCCATTGCATATTAATCTTGTGTATGTTAATTAGGCATTAGTTAGACACCAAATTCGAAACAATGACATCATTAATAAGCCACAAAGTGCTGGTAAGCGTTAGGTTTATGGAGGAATTTAGGTAAATCCGTTGTGTGCCACTGACCACTTTTCACATAATGCTATTAAATATGTATATACTTTGTTCATTTCCCCTTCTGATATAGGAGAATGTGGGCACTCCAAACCACCATAATATTTGATCACTTTTTGAGGATTTTCTAATTTCTCAAAAACAAAACAGACCATTGTATACCTAAAGCCACATGCTTGTTCACAAGTTAAGCATTTGGAGAGTGAACAAAATAATATGAAATCCGTCATGCCTATTGGAAACTGTGGGATTCTCTTTTGCTTATGATAGTCTTGCATATTATGAGCTCTCGCATGCCTGCTGTGTTTTGTTTGGTTTAATGGAACTCTGTAGTGTATTGCTACGTTGTGGTTCATTCTGATAGGTGAGGATGCTGGTGAGTCGAGTCACACCCTGCACCTCACAAGTCTCTTTGTCATTTGGTACAAGTACATTTAAGAACACCAGCTGTTCATGAGGGTCAGGGGTTTCATCAATCTAACATCTCTCACATAAGTTTGACGTTTTAATACAAAATGGGTCTTTTGGGGCACTATTATTATAACTAAAGAAATGAAAAACTGTAGAAAAAACTCAGGTTGTGATAAACAAAAATAAAATTCCAATTCATTGTTCAATTCACATTGTCCAATTCACACCTGTTCTATTATTTATATATATATATATATATATATATATATATATATATATATATATATCATTTTTCAATGATAGAAAATATAATTTAATATATATATAAATTATATAAATATAATATAAATATCATAGGAAGATATATGAATAAAAATGTTGAAGCTGAATATTAGAATAAATATTTTGCCTTTAATCGATATGACAGGACAGACTGGAAAGGAGAGAGAGACTGCATGCAGCAAAGGACCATAAAAACTCAACCTTGGCCAAAGGGGCGCCTGCCCTACTAGGTGAACTACCTGGCCAACACTGTACATGACACAAGTACATGACTGAAGACAGATGTTTTTTTGTTTTGTTTTTCAGTTCACCCTGTGTGAATGCTTTGGTCAGAGAGAATTTCAATTGCCTCTCAACATGGCGATGCCTGAGCCAGCAGGATCAAAACTAATGGTGCTAACAGCGCTAACTACAACAGTAGTGCAACAGTGCAAACTACAGCTAACGTGCTGACAGAGCTAACAGTGTTTACCTGAGGGGGTAACGCTACGCTCCCTCAACGACGCTGTTGGTCAGGACGGCGTCATCAGCTGTAACCTCTGTATGAGAGCAGTGCAGAGTGGCAGCCTTGAGTTAACCAGTGGGGCATGTCCACATGCACTAACATGCACTAACATGCACACGGCCGCCCCGCCTATGTCAACAAAGCATATAGATACTAGCTGGTAGCTGCTATGTTAATGCCCTGAATGTTGTATATTGCTCCTTTAAGTAAAACAGCTGCTGTATATTAGCGGCTCATCCCTGTCGTGGGTGGGGTGCTTGCTTCTCTGCCTGTGTCACCACCCTCATTAAAGTGGCACTGTGCAGCCCCCCTTAGACAATCAAGCCCGCCCTAACACACAAGCCACCTATAAATCACCTTGTGAAAATCAATGGGCTTTAGTTAGCCTGGGACTCATTGTGTCCTTGGAAAGGTGTGAGATGAATTGAGATGAAGTGAGAACAAAACAGGAACAACATCCACCAAAAGGGACGGAGGAGAAAAAACACCAAAGAGTGCAGCAGAGACTTTGGTTAGACTGAGCTTTATGGTCACTGACTCGTCTTTACTTACACAAAGCTGACCGATATTCATTTGGCCTAATGATGTGTGGCGCTGTGCATTTTCAGACTCTGATAGTACAATTGAAAGGCAACAGAGGATGAGTCAGGTTGCCATTATTACTTTCTCTCAGAGATGGATGGAGGTCTTAAATGACGGCTACCACATTGAATGTTCTTTTTCTTTCAGGAAACTTTGAAAACCCTGCCCACTGCATAACTTTCCTGAATATTCTCCCCATTCCGTTGATTAAACTAGAAAAAAACAGCCTAAAGCCCTATTTTCAAATAGTATATTAAAGGTCATATATCATTCATTGATTTTCTACTAGAACGTGTGTGCATGCAATAATGTTCTAAAAACACATAATTCCTCTCATACTGCCTGTATTTAAACTCTGTCTGAAAAGTTCTTGTTCATCGCTCTCTTTCAATCCAGGACCCTATTTCTGATCCACTTTGTTTTACACAGGTTTTCTGATATTACACATATTTATGTTTATAAGTCACAAAAAAGTGCATTTTGCATAATTTATGACCTTTTAAGCTACGTAAAAACATATCCTATCCATCTGTGTGGTGCTCTCAAATCCTACACACTGCCCCTTTAACTAAAGATAACAAAATTATCATATATAAACCGATATGTCCTCATTGCAATTTTATGGAAAAGAACAACAGGAAGAGGAAATACAAACTGCATCTTTAGTTTCTTTTTACATTTTTATTCCATCTTTTAATTATTTTCCACAACATCACAGCAATTGACCTATCACGTCTAATGATGTTTAAATTACCATAATATCCCAATTTAAAGAATACACAAATAAAGTAGTTCTAACAATGAAGCATAATCTCCACAAGTAGCCATTCAACACAAATGAATCAAGGGCTCAAGTGCAACTTCTGAATTGACTTTGGGCCTTTAGAGCTACAGTAGAGTAGGTAGGTGTTTTCTGCCTATATACTCTAGGCCAGTGGTTCTCAAATGGGGGTACGTGAAGGCACTCCAGGGGGTACGTGAAATTTAAAAAATATATATTTAAAATTAGCATCCATTCAAAAATCCTTGAAAAATAGTTATTTAATAAATATTCAATAAAATATAAGTATAAGTTCATAAACTGAATTTTATATTCAGCAGGCTATTCAATTTCATTATCCTAAACAATGCAATCTTCAGTGTTGACAGTTTAATAAATCCCGACACAGATGATCTTTTTTTCAACCAAAAATGCTTTGCGCTGGTTAGAGGGTACTTGGCTGAAAACATATTTCACAGGCGGTACATCACTGAAAAAAGGTTGCGAACCACTGATCTAGCCTACGGTGCCTGAAAGCTATTTTGTCCATTGAATTTCAAACAGGAGTTGGCCTGGTGAAGTTTGTATCGCTGCCGTCTGTGTTCCCGTTACCACAGCAAGTTCTGTGGACAGATCAGGTGTGGATTTAACGCATGGTTACTTCAGTAGCACATCTGGTGTTAGTTCGGATGCAATTGGTATTTAACAAACCATAATTTGTCCAGATTACACTTCACACTTTGTTTTCAGAAGACTAAGACCTGGCTATTAAATGTCGAGATGTCTCCTCAGTGTTCTTAGTTTTTAAGAACAATTCTTTGCTATTCTAATGGGGGATGCAGGCCTCACAGTGTAGTCCTTTGCATCTCTGAGTTGATGGAACTGTACGAAGTGTGATGAAGAAAGTGAAAATAAGAACACTCTACTGTTGAACAATGACAATGGAGAATATGAATATAAATGTTAGTTGAATTCAAACCTCTCCCATGATTGTAGCTTAATATTTGTGTTACTCATATTGTACTGTACATTTATCTGAAATACAAGAACATACAAGAAAATACATTTTTTTTTAAAATGGTTTTATTTGAAGTGTTCCAGACTGCAAGCATGACGATACTTTCAGTATATGTTGGCCTGTGATAAAAGCATGATGGATTCTAAATGGATTATATCTATCAGCTGTGCAACAGGCTGAAAGGTGATGGACACTTGGTAATGCTTTGACAAAGAACTTCACGAAGACAATGTGGAATGGAAGGTACAGCGAGTCTCGAGTGCTCTCGGAGATCAGTGGAATAAACAGTTAATTGCAGGTGTAACTGAGCCTGCTTCCTTGCTCTTACAGATAACAGTAATACTTTCATTTGAAATACTTGTTCAAAAGACTAGCTGCTATGTGATGTCCACTGGGCATGTGACCAGAGTATCTCACCTGCAGCTCTTTTCTCAGATGTGTTATCTTTACATACATATTATATTCCGCCAGCTTAGCCCTGTCAAACCCCTTCTAGTATCCTTTAATTAAGGTATCTAGTTTGTGTAGTGAGGAGTTCCTGCTCTGTGGCATGTATTAACCCTGTCCTGACTAGTTCTCCCGTCTGTGCCATGTTCAGTCACTGGGAATGAAGGGAGAGAGAGAGTCAGAAAATGAGATACATGTAGGGGGAGGAGAGGGTAATATTAACTATTCAGGAAATACAGAAACAAGACAGTATGGGGTAGTGTAAACTGAGTTGAAGTACAGTCTCAAAGTATCCGTTACCAAAACACCAAAATAACAAATAGCAAATGTGCTTCGACTCTGCTTGTAAAACATGAACGATAACTCAACTTGAAAAAGCATTTCTTGGAGAAAATGTGTGTGAATACTGACACGTGAAATAAAATGCAAAGCAGGGCTGAAAATACAGGAATCTGAACCCGACTAATCTTAAACCCGGAGGCTGAAATGTAAAAGTAGAAAAATTAGAGGCTGAACTGCATTACCTAAAGAAGCTAAGAGCTGAAATGTATTGCTATAAAAGTCTGACGTTGAAATGAGTTAAAAGGCTGAAAGAAGAAATAGTTTGTGTTAATATGAGACGGATGAACTGCTTTGCCCTGAAGAGCTGAAATGTACACGTCGGTAACATCACGGGTCACGTGACACACCAAGCAGCTCAATACACAACCATTATAAACTCAGAAAATACAAATTAAACTGAGAATTCAGTTCAAAGTCTTGTGACCCGTTTTAAAATTTAAATTAAATCTGACACTGAAAATTTGCTTCAGTAGTAGAACTTCACAGTGAAGTGGGTTTGTAGCGAATTCAGAGATTTCTACTATTCACTTAAAAAGTTTAATATTTAAATAAAAAAACATAAAAGGTAGAACAAAGTTGAATACAGCCATTCATGTCTTTACAGAGGAGAGCGTTTTGATACTTGAATGGTCTCTGGAGCTGAACGTATGCAGAAGTAGTAGTTGACCAAAAAGTGTTTGGAAGAAGAAAAATTAAAAGCTACGATTATGTGAATGCTGCTGAATCAGCAAAAAATATGGCTTTCAGTGGACATTGGAACAGGAAGGAAGATGTGACACAGCTGCATCAAGGGGTTAGTCATTAGAGGGTGGAATACTTCCAGATGCTGGATATTCATTAGACAGTAACAGAGCAGTGAGGCGCTGCCCAGAGAAAAGTTGTGTCCCAAACATCTGTGAGTAGGACACACCTGGACTCATATTAAACGTTGGCCTTTGGTATCATAGCAGTTTAACAGTGTCACCGTGCATGACCTCTTGATACAGATGTCCTGATGTTTCCGACTAAGGATGACATTATAATACATTCTTAACTAAATTTTGCTTCTCAAGGAGTGGTTTCCAATAGTTCCATCTATGTCCAAGCACTGTGAGAAAGTAGCACCAAAAACATATAAAGACATCTACACTCAGGCACAGAGGAATAAAGTAGAAAGTATATTTAAAACTACATATTTAGAAACATAATTAATACATTTCAATGCAATACAAAATGTTTACTTTTATTTAAAAAAAAGAAAGAGGAAAAAAGGCACATGCAGTGATTTGTAAGAGCCGAGTGAGCATTCATCTCCATCCTCTGTCTCCTCTTCACTTGTTCTTGGCTGCCAGTGGTTTGCGGCTGATCTTCTTACTCTTGTCATTGCTCTTCTTCGGTGGTTCCGGGTTGGCCTGCATGTGTCTGCCATAGAGACTGGGGGGGAGAAGAGGAGGGTGGGGGAGGGGAGAGGAGTTTTTAGATGATCTAGTTCTGAGAAGAGTTAGCTGGATAAACAAACCAAAGAAAGCATGGTCTGCCACTGATGCATAGGCTGCTTGCAGAGCAAACACTAACTTGGGAGTGGTCTAAACAAATTAAAATCAAACCATCTCTGGAACATTCTCACATCTCAAAACCCTCTTCTTGGACAATCAGTGATCTTCACCAGCCAAATAGTGGTCGACAGTTTAATTTGAACAAATACTGAAACATCAAATATTCACACAGCATACACTGGACACGGACACACACACACACACACACATAGTTGTGGAGTTGAGTTGGTGGGTGGTGATCATCAACATTCACAGAGGTTCACGTATTAATGTTGATTAATGCTGAATAGTGGACAGTGTCTACCCCCATCTGTCACTTCTCCTCTCCCATGGGTGTCTCTTCTTCACCAGCAAGAGAGCTCATCGGACTGTGAAATACTCAGTCCTCTGTGCTTCGTCTACAGCCTGTTAATAATTGTATCTTGGTTCTTTCCTCCTCTTACTGTATTCATGCTTGGCCTGGGTTTATAACAAGCTTACTTAAAACTGGGAAATGTTGGCGCTCCACCAATCCGCTCATACCGTAACCCAGTAGCTTGTATTTATATTGGTGTAGATTGCTTCATTTTGTTCACCTGCTATTTTGCAGCAATGAAAGTTTTGCCAACCCTTTCTTTGAAGGAGCTGTATTTAACATTCAGAGCGTCAGCGCTTTGCTCCGTGGACATGTCTAAATTTTTAAAGATTTTCGTTTTTCTTCCATTTTCAGGCTGGTTTTGTGGATTCAAGAAAGTCATGGTTAAAAGTTGTGAGGTAGTGATACTTGCCACTCCGAGAGTTTAGAATGAGAGATCCATTTCTAAAACATTACTAATAACCCGTGGAGCTAACAAGAAGCAGAAGCAGATTGAAGTCTGCTTCTCTCTGAAGTGGCTTTTTAGTTTTTCCTAAAATGAGATCATATTTATTCAGCGAGTTCAGTTGGTGACAGTGTGGGTCCCATGGTGGCTCTGACAGCTTGACGGAGTAGCAGCAGGGGGTGGGGCTTAGCAAAGCGGTCAATTGCCACCCTATTTCACAGCCAATTAAAACGTCTGCACACATTTCTCTAACCACACCAGCAGCTGTCTCTGATTGTCCACTGTCCATCCACATGCTCAATATATCCCTCACACTCATATTACCACCAAGGAGAGGGTGATGGAAAAGACAGTAAAGTGAGCAAGCTGTGGCGCTTCTACGGTCACTTATGGTGCCACAGAGATGGTGGAAAGAGGAAAACGAATATAAAACACATCAACATCCCTTTAAGATCTACAGAAGACACTATGGCCGTGCTTTTCTACAGTGTATGCATGCACACACACGCACACACACACTCCGAGAAATTGTGTATCCAAATCCACAGTGGTGGAACTGTCAGTCTATGATTGAAGTGTCTTGTATTCTCCTCCCCTCTTTCTGCCTCCATCCCATGTCAACACTTTCAGCTGGGAATTGAATGCTGCCAAACTCCATAATATCTGCTGCCCATCAAAACCACGACAGGCCTACGGCAGAGAGAAAGGGAGGGACAGAGATACAGCCAGTGTCAGACTGTTTACCTTTGAAGAGCTCACCACAGCTGCTCTACAACTCTGTCGAAGAGTCAACAGTACCGTCAGCCACCATGGTTTATTTCCCACATTCCTCTTACTGGAAGGTGTCTGCCTGTTTGGATTTAAAAGACCACCCCACCCCCCATTTGGAGGTTTCTAGTCTGCAGGGATACATGTTTGACAGAGAGAGGTTGAGACAAAGTGGGATACTTGGGACTCTGTGGAGCTTCTTGCTCAGTCAGCTGGGCTGCCAAGTCCCAGAGGAGAGTGTGGAACAGGGAAAGGGAGGCAGGCAACTCCTGGGAGCAGCTCAGTGTCTGCAAGCAGCCGGGTCTTCGGACAGTTGACAGGATTTAGCCATGCTAGAGGCTTGGGTCTAAGGATGTCTGTTTTAGGGCTGAAACAATTCCTCTAATCCAATATTTGTCAAAACACTCAATAGCTTAAATAATCGTTCGCTGCAGCACTAGTCTTTTTTCTTTTCTTCTGCCAGTCGATCCACCAGACGGAAATATTTCAACATATACCGGATAAATTGGCGTGACATTTTGGAAATGTCTTAAGGATTGTTAGATGGACTGCCATAAAATGCTGCACAAACATTCATGTCCCCTTAATTCTTCTTCCTTTGGTGATCCCTTTTCAACTAGTGCCATCAACAGGTCAAAATTTCAATTTCTCCAATACTGATGACCACAATTAAGCTGGTGAACATGGTAAACGTAACCTGCAACATTAGCATTGCCCGTGCGCCTGGGCGACTGCGGCTCAGAGGATCGGCGGTTTGATCCCCGGCTGGTCCATGTCGATGTGTCCTTCACCCCAAAATTGCTCCCGTAGTTTTGCCTACGGTGTGTGAATGTTAGTTAGTCCTGATGGGCAGGTGGCACCTTGCATGGTAGCCCCTATCATCAGTGTATGAATGGATGTGAATGATGCCGATATATCAACATTCTTATTGGAGTTCAGAGCTAGGACAGCAGATCACAGAACAGGCCAGTGCCAGTAACGGGGGGGGGGGGGGGGGAAAAACTGGGTTTATATACATATATATATTTATTTATTCATAGGGATATTTGTAGATGTACAGTATTTGTGTATTCATGTGTAGATTGAAATGTGTCCCATATTATTACTTTGTAAATTCATTCAACAGTCCTCACTCACCCATTAACCGGACCAGACATAAGATGGACACACAATCACACACACACCTACACCCACAATCACACACGCACAATCACACACACACAATCACACAGAAACACGCACACAAAGTGAAGTTGTGTTTTGTCTCCGTCTTACTTTGAATCATTTCTTGGCTCGTATACGAGTTCATGTACTTGTCTGCACTTGTTTTGTACTCACTTTTCTACTCAATAAAAAAAAAAAAAAAAGGATATGCACGCTTTGCCAATATGTGCCATTACAGCTGTTTGTATGTGAATTGGAGGTCTAATGAACAGAGGGCAGAGCTGCTGGACCAGACCAGGACTGTGCTGAGGGTTTGTGTACGCTCCTTTTCAGAAAAGCAAGATTATTCATTTAGTCAATAAGCAGCCAATGCAGCACACTTGGTGCTGTCATAACGAGCTACTGCTAGCATAATCGTGGGTTCCCAGCATTGATGGATGAGTTGAGGAAAGCAGGATGTATAGGGAAGAAGGGAATGATCAGTCAGTTTGTCATAAAGGAGAAAAATAAATCAATGTGAAGAGGGGAGAATAGTGCAGCCTGGCTGATGATGGAGCGTTCACTCAAAAGCCAGTGTTTATTCATGTTTTTAATCATTTTTGTCATGACCAGAGTGTATAGTATGTGGTGCTGTGATGTTAAGTCACACTCTTGTCTATCTGACAGTTGAAAACTGACACGGGGCCTAGCATGGACAGAATAATGAGGACGATAATAGGAATGTGTCTCATTCCAATACTGAACAGGGAAGAAATGGAAGTTTAAAGCGTTGAGGACCAGAGAAGCTGGTCTAGATGAAGCAGGTGGTCTATGACGGCGATACACATTTTGTGATGTCACTAATCAACACTTGCCTCTGAGACATGACGTAAGGGATACGCTGCAGGGATCACTACTTGCAATATGTTGGTCCACAATGTGTGTGTGACAGATCTATGGCGTTTAATGAGTCTCAAAACCCATGCACATTAAACCTGGCGTGTGCATGTGACACTAGTGCACACAGTATCCTTGAGCAGAAACATGTCCTCGTGAGGGAGCATTTCTGCAAGCGCTCAAACCCGCTTGCTCGTCGGGAGATTTATTGTATTTCCTGCTACTGTGCCATCCGTGCAAAACATGACACAGCCCCTCTCTCAAATCAGAGACTGCAGAGCCAAACCGAACATAAACAAAATGTCTTTTGGGGAGTCTGTGAGACTCTGCCAATTAAAGACATGAAAGCGTGCCCTTTGACTGTGATAAGAGGTGGTCTGAGCTGGTTTCAAGTGCTGATCATGCAGTTGCCAACAGTAGTGTACTCGGGTCGGTTGCCCAGGTATATCAAAGGAGCAATATACAGTCAGAGCAATAACATAGCAAACAGCTACTATCATCTATGTAAAGATAAAGTGGAGGGATGTCTGCCTCCCTCTGTGTGTGCTGTTAGTAGAGCAGTAGCTCACGTTAGTGCATGTGAGCGTGCCCCACACTGCTCTGCACTGCTCTCAGACCACGCCCCCACCCTCCTCTTCCCCCTCTGGTAAACACGGTCCTCTCTGTCATCCATCCAGGAGAGCAAGTGGACTCGGAGCGGCAGGGCGTTGCCGAGGAGGCATTGGAGAGCTGTCGGGCCTCGCTGTCTCAGCGGTCTGGGCTGGACCCAGGACTACAGGAGTGACTGGATCCCAATATGGCCGACGGACTGTTGCACTCCGCTCACCCCTCTGTGGACTGACAGGCTTCTGCTGACCCATTAGGCACGCACAAGGTTCACTTCTTTCCACAACCTGCAGTGATTGTTTTAAAGTAATTCCAAAATTGAAAACTGAATACCTATCTACGAATGAATATCAGCCCTACCCTGTATGGTATTTAGTTTATTTGAATAGGTTCTATGTACATTATATGTTGTTTTAATATGCTGTGTTGAATGAGCACTATGAGCTCACTAAGACATGTTACTACAACTTTTATGCTGGCAGTACAATAAGTCAACACTACTAATTGAACCTAATTCAGCCTGCATGGGGCAGAGCTCATACTGGATCTGGAATAAGGGAAGGCTTCTTCTTATCTTAATCTATGACGCTGTAAAGCAAAGAGTAGACATCTAGTCCCACTGGTGGCCTGCTCTCTGTTCTCTGCCTCTCTCTCTTTGTGTGCT